TTCATGTTGCTTGGTTTTCTTGTTTGACCTTCCATCTCACATTTCTAGTTTTTCACAGGTCTCTGGAACAAGGGGACAAAGATGTGAAAGAAATGACTAAAATCGTGTGGCTATGGTTCTACAGAAATCCAGCCATTTGCTTAAGCTCTTAAAAGAAAAGAAAAAAAAAATCTAACTTTCTAAAGAGATTTCATTTATAAAATTGACTTGGTACTTTGTAAGCAATGTTTAAATTCATTAGTGATAAATATGCATGTTGGCTTAGGAAAATCCCATTTTTTACATGGAGTTTTAATGGAAATGGCAGTTTTATGAAATGAAAGTGAATAGTAAAAATCTGCATGATGTTCGTAAGCCTCTCCCTCATTTTTATTGAGGTTTTTGTGTATTCTAATTCATTTACACAGGGAGAGGGGAGCACTAACATGGTTTATCTCCTGTAATTACTCAAATTGAATAGAATTTATTTTCAATAAAATTCTTCATGTTAATTGCCTAAGGTGGGAAGAGGAAAGTTGGCCTGTCTTTAAAAACGTCTTGGTTTTTGCTATTTCCCCAGCCCGTTGTTAATTTTGGAGGCCAAGTGGTTTACTGGATATCCTTTTGCTGCCAGGCTGCAAGGTCAGTGGTTGGAAACCGCCAGCCACCTCTTCAGGAGACAGAGGAGGCAGCAGTGTATACCCTCGTGAAGAGGGCAGCTCTAGCCTGCCCTGTAGGGCTGCTATGAGTCAGCATTGACTGGATGGTACTGAGTTTGGTTTGGTAGTTCATTTGTATAGATTGCCAGTAGCTCTTAGCAGGTTTTTTTTTTAAAAACAATTTAAACCTGTGTAAGCCCTTCTAGGAAACCCAGGGCAGTGTTGGGAGTCGGGGATCGGACATATTTACTTTAAACTGCTTATTTTGTTACCAAGACTACAATCTTCAGTACGGATGACCCCTTAGCACAAAGTACAAAAATCCTCACAACAAGCCCAGCTAGCAGCATCACGCAGGGTGGAGTCAACCCTGAAGGTGCCGGGGATTTCATTTCACTCGGATCCACAATGAACGCCCGTGGAAGCGGCAGTCAAGAAATCCAGCCATGTGTTGCATCAGGCAAACCTATTGTACAAAGACCTCTTTGACGTGCGTCAAAGCAAAGATGTCACTTTGAAGACTAAGGCACATCTCCCCAAGCCCTGATGTTTTCCGTCCCCTCATAGGCATGTGACAGCTGGAAATGAATCAGGAGACAGAAGAAGAGCCGCTGCCTTTCAGTTATGGTGTTGGTGAAGAATGTTGAAAGTCCGTGGACTTCGGAAGCACAAGTGCGTCTTGGAAGACGTACAGTCAGAAGTGAGGGTGGTGAGACATTGTCTCAAGTTTTTCGGACCTGCTACTAGGAGAGAGCAGTCCATGGAGAAGGACATCATGCTCGCTGAAGTGGCCGAGCGGTGAAGAAGAGAAAGGCCCTCCACGAGGCGGGTCAACCTCGTGGCTGCCGCAGTGAGCCCGCCTGTGGTGACTGTGTGGGTGGGTGGCACAGGCCAGTAGCACACCCTTCTGTTGTACACGGCCCCGCTATCAGTTGGAACCTACGGACTCTACTAACAACATTATTATAAATAGTATTTGCCTTTTCTTCACTGAAGAGTACATTTTTGGTGACCCACACTGGAGGTTGAAATATCATTCAGATTGCTGAGTATTAGCTTGGCCTGGCAGAAATCTCCAGAAGCATCTTCGTATTTACACTTGAGCTGCGTTTGTTTTTGTGGCATGCCCAGAAACACAGCTCAATGTCCAGACTGACAGACCCTTCGGCCTGGGCGCTCCGTTTCCTCTTTGCCTTGTGGGGGAGCGGGCAGGAAGAATCGGAGGTGCTGTGAGGTGGAGACGAGGAAGTGTTTTCAAGGTCACCAGGACGGGATCTGGCCAGCTCCTCTTCTTTCTGACCACCCAGAAACGCATGTGCTCTGGGCTTGGGTGAGGGCCATTGTGAGTTCTGGGTATGCTCATCTGAAGAGGGCAACCTCCGTGCGCACGAGGCAGAGCTGCAGTTACGTGGACAGCGATCATGTTCTGCAGACACTGGAAAGTGCTGAGGCCTGAGCATGTCTGACAGGCATTCAACCTGCCATTGTGTGACCTTTAAACTCTTTTCTTCCCCAGGGTCCACTCTCTTTTTCTCCTCCCGAGTGGTGGGGTACTTGAGGTGGGATTGTGTTGACATGGAGTTCTTGGCTCGGGACATCAGGCCCACCGAGGTGTGTGTGCCGTTGACCTCTCTGACTCCGGAATTCGAGCTGTCTTGAGCTGTTGTTTTCCTTGGTCACTTCCTCTGCGTACACGAGCCTGCCCTGAGCAAGCGGGCAGGGTCATGTCCCCACTGCTGCCCATGTAGTCCTCTCTCACATCTGACAACAGCTGTGGCGTCGTCAGCATCTGGCCCCCTGCTTGTCCCTGGAACTCCTCTGGGCCCGCAGGGTCCCCGCCTCTGGCTAAGCTTTTGG